CCAATCGGCCACCAGGAGTGAGCCGGTACATACATGGATGTAGCGTTTTCAGGTCCTGCACCATCAAACACATCTGGACTACGTATTTATGGTGAGTGGAAGTCTCGATTGTTTTCTAGAAGTAAAGTAATGAAACTTTATTTTATTATGTTCCAAAATCCCAGTTCCAAACCGTAACTTCCCTCCATAACAATAGACGCACTCCGCTCCCAACTCGTGGTGGCACACAAAAAAACACAGCTCAGCAGAATAATCCACTATAGCGAGGTCTTTAACACACATTAGTCAATGGCTGTACTTAATGGGTTTGACGCCGACAGGAGCTCAGCCACCCTCTTAAAGCCAGTGCTCCTGACAACGGTAATCAGCTGGCCACGGATATCGAGCGGCAGGTGTGGCTGCCTCCAGCGCAGGAATAATTCCTCCAGCAAACCAAAACGTGTGTATGTTATTTACGCGGATGTAAATAACACACACACAAACACACACAGAGAGACTGAGTAACAGGAGAGAGATGACAGAACACAATAAATACATGAGCCTTGGGCCCCTAGACCCAGGCCGTGACAACTGGGTACATTGTTTAGTTATGCCTGTATATAAATATAAATAATTTATTTGATTTTATTTTTATTATAACTTCAGCAGTTCAGTGTGGTGGTAGCACTGTTCCACCATCTGGCCAGCGGCTTTCTGTGTAAAGTTTTCCCTGTGTTTGTCTCTGGGTGCTCTGGCTTTCTCCCACAGTTCAAAGACATGCAGTTGTTGGGGTTAGGTTAATTTGATTCTAAATTGCCAATAGGTGTGAATGTTATCTGTCTCTCTGAGTTAGCCCTGGATCAAGGCACACACTGCCTCTCACCTCATGGAATCAGCTCCAGCTCCTCTGTGAATCAGATAAGCGGAAGAGGGAGGACTAATGGAAGCAACGAATAAATTCTGGCACATTAACTGTAGTGTATTATTACAAAGGCATACATTTCTCATCAGTCTCAACTGAAGTTAAACAACATTTTTCTGGGTTCCAGATGTTGGAGGAAAACATTTTCCGTTTTGTGAAGAATGAGCTGAAAAAGATCCAGAACATTCTGAGTGCAGGTTACCCCAAAAATGCAGAGAATCTGAAGGAAAATGAGGAGGTGTTGGAATCTGACGAGGAGGAGAGGAAGAGTACCAGCGAGTCATTTCTGAGAATTACAGTGGATTTTCTGAAGCGAATGAAGCAGCAAGAGTTGGCTGACCGTCTGCAGCGCAGTAAGAGAATTTTAACACAATGGAAAGCAGAAAAAGAAGCAACAGAAAAAGTTGACATTTCAAACTCTGT